GAGTTAGGACGGCCAAGTTGGGTTTCAAGGAGCCGGGAAAGGTTTTGGGAGGACAAGAGTCAGGACGGCCAAGTTGGGTTTCAAGGAGCCGGGAAAAGTTTGGGAGGACAACAGTTGGGACGGCCGAGTTGGGTTTCAAGGAGCTAGGAAAGGTCTAGGAGAATAAAAGTTGGAAAGGCTGAGTTGGTCTTAAGGAATTAGAAGGAGTTGGAAGAATAACTACGAAGATCGAATCAGTCCTAAAGCCGAGAAAGATTGCAATATAGCAAAAACAACCCCACTCTTAAACATATATATATATATATATATATAATATTTCTAGTATTTCTAGTATTTTTGCTTTAACACCAACTCGGGCTTAAGATAGGTATGTGATTTGACGAAGTAGAAGCCTAAGAATAGCAAGTGTACCCCTTGTAAGTTGTAATCCAGGGCGCCTAAGCTAGACGCCGGACGCCCCTGTTTGAAGCGCCAAGTTGTCTGCCGGCCCGCATCACACCGTCTTAACATTCGATTGCGGCACAGTTACCAACCGCACCCAAAGTTTGTTACTATTCTAGTGTTATAAACTTAGCCATGTGTAGGAGCCATCGAGGACTGCACTTTCCGAATCCTCGTAAGACGACTCTTTTTATATTTAAACTACACCTGCCGCCCCTTCAGAAGTTCTCGCAACCCACTGACTTCTGATCTATATTATTTGAAGGTATTGGAGTCATAAATCTTGTTGGTAGTCTTGGTAGACTTGTTCAAAGCTTTGCATCCGACACCTATCGCGTCTACCAGTGTACCATGTGGTGGGCCATCTATGACTGGGTGCTTCTGGCATTGTGGGCTATAAATGCAGAAGCATCATACACAATCCTCCGATGCGACTCATCGTCTTTTGCAAAGATTCAGGGTGCCATTACGGAGGCCACAAGTATGGCTACAAGTAAGGGGTGATCAATTGCAGTCGTATTCTTACCAAGACGCAACAAGTTGCTAATTGAATAATACACCAGATGCTCTAGCTAAACTTCTCCTCCCGGGCGACGCTACGGTAGCTGCTGCCTTTACACCTTTATTCATATCTTCCGATGTGCCGACTCTACGAGGTGTGTACCCACGAGTGGACCTATTATCATACACAAGCTGCAGATAATATGTGACTGACTCCTACAGGACTCTACACCCGAGTGCAGAATATCGACACCGATCCATTGGACGTCACATTCTTTTGCGATGAGAACCACATTGAATGGTCCGACCCGCGAAACGGCTGGATGGATACAGCTTATACCTATACGGCCACGGACGGCACAATCCGGCATGTTAACCAGTACAGGGTTGCTGCCGGTAATCCAGGCACGTTGCCTGGGATAAAAGGGTCGTATGCGACTCTTGGTCAGTCAATTAGCTATACCTACGTACCTTTCGTGGATCTACTGACTCTGGCTCAGGCTATCAAATCCAAATGACTTCCGACGTGGCAGATTGCTCCGATCAGGCGCATGTATACGTTTGGCCTCAGAGGATCAACCCACCCACTGACGGCTCTGATGGCTACGATCATCGCTCTCTACGCGACATCAACTCACAGGGTATTCATCCCAACTTCGCAGCCCTGGATAACATCAAACCGCTCTCTGAGACCATCTTCCACGAGGTATATGTTGATCTTCTAAGAGACAGTGAACTGCGGAAGCTAACTTGTGAACAGCTCATGCACGTTTACGGGGGCCGTAAGTGATTTCCCATATCAATTCAAAACTGTGTAATGTGCGACGGCATGTAATATTAACTCTACAAACGTCAGTCGTCAGCCCCACCAGCGGTAAGAAGAATATAGTTGATATAATCAATGGAAAGCGGATCCGTGGTTATCAGTCTTGCGTCTCCACGAATGTAAATCGACTAGCCAACGGTTATACACCGCTCCAGGCTGCTGATTGCCCCACGATTTTGGCTAAAGGTATGTCGGGTTCTTCACGGGAACTTCTCTGAGAAGCTGCTGACGTGAGGAAACATGTAGCTCTTTATCTTCAACCGAAGAATAAGCCGCCCATGATGTGGGATACTGGGGTGGTTGACCCTAACTCTGGCGCACCAGTTGGGTTACCTGGACCAGGTGCCAACCATAAGAGACAGATTACTGTTATATAGGAGGGCTAGTATTGAGTCGTTGATAAGGGTGAAGACAAGTTTGATTTAGGAAAGCAAAAATATATAAGGATTCATCTAACAAATAAAATTGCAGGACTATAATTTGAAGGCCTACCTGAATTTACACACCAGTCGTCTGAATGTACGTTTAGGTAGGTAGGCCCTGCCGTCCTTTTTTCCCCTTGCAGAAATTTTCCCAGAAGGCTCTTCAGCTAGACTATTAAATGCAAGATTAGTCACTCTATGGCTCAAAAAGTTGGTCTTTTCACCTTTTTCTAATCAATGTTCTTAACAGGCATGCTTTGTACACGAGGATAATTCAGTCCGCCTCTACAATCAATCGCGACACTATCAAAGACTCGTGGTCGATAGAACGTCTCCAGCTGATTTTAGGCAGGGTGTCATGCTTGATCGACTCGGCCATAGGGTCTCACTTCATTGCTCAGGCAAGAGGCTGCTACAGATAAACTAACTAGACATATAATCACGAAGGGATTCCTCTAACCACTGACTATTTCCTAATTCCTTTGTCTCAAGCAGCGTTCCATCATAGTCATCCCCCATAACAAGTCTCTCAATCCGCTGTCGCAATTCTGTACTCCGTTCTAGGACAGAGGTCGGATTCCTTAGCCCGAATCGAGTGTGAGCAAAAGGGTAAGCAAGGTCCGCGAAGAATCGGCTTAGTCCTTTCTCGCGTAGTTTCGACAATGGTCCTAGAGTCCGCGCATACATCTTGAGGATCGCCATGCCCTGTTCTTTAGTCATGGTACTCCGGAAATCAGCGACTAGTTCGCCATGAAGGATATAATCAGCCATGTAGATACGTAGTGTGAGCATCGGCAGATCCAGTCGCTCTCTCACGTATTCGATGGTTTGAAGCCAGTCTTGATACGCGGGCTCATGAGGACAAAGATAGTCGTCGTAAAATGGCGGAAAGACAACTTCTAAGAATTTTAGAAAATGAAGCGCGTTCGAAGGCACAACGTCCCTTAGGAAAATTGAGACTTCAAGACGGGTGGGAGTGCTTTTAGCGGGATGAGTACACCCTCCCGAGGGGACGATAATAAACCGATTTCTGGCGAAGAAGACCGCTTGGGCATCTACTGACAACTGCTTACATACGAGGAATAAAGATGTAGGTGGAGACCAGCAACGGCATTTTGATGAGAAGGCAGCGTGATAGCGGCGGCAGAAGCAACCCACATTCGAGGGTTCGTATTGCCAGCAATTTCGAAACTGGCAGGCACGGTGTAAGTCTGGGGAGCATTCCGGGAAACCTCCTATACTCGGTCCGCCACATCTCCATGTGCTGTAATGGAGATAGAAGTTGCTCTCAGGATTCCATTCAACCTCACAGAGTGGAGTAACCAGATCGGTATATCCTAGGATTTTGAGACGGAGCTCCTGCGGCAAGTCGAAGAACCGGAAGGCAGACCCAACGTGATTCCAACGATCCTGGTATCCCATCGCTCGCGTTGCCACCTCCTGAGCCACATCTCGTAGAAGAGGGCCAGGCTGCCGAGCCAAGCGGATGCTACACTCTGCGAGCGTTGGAGTATTGCGGAGGGGCTCAACCACATACATTGCTACTTTCAGCTCGTTAACATCGCAGACAAAATGCAGGCTGAGGTGGGACTGTTTAATGTGAGCTGTGATATAACGAGCTGTAGTTTGCCATTCAGAAAGGATTGTCTTCGATGAAAGTCCAAGGGGTTTGTCATGTTTAAGACAGTAGCTCGATTTTCCTCGACAGACCTCACAACATTCCTGGCCCTTCTCACATGAAGTAACATTGAGATGAACTGTGAGCTGAGTTAAAAGTGCGACGGAATCCGCGGTCAAATTTCTGAGTGCTTCGAGGCTCTGAGCATCGCTATATCGGATAAAAAATCGGTTCGTAGAGTATATAATGTAGGAGGTCTCGGTATAGACGGTGCGACAGGTCAGGAGCAAATTGTAAGAGATTTGGAAGTCAGCCGAGGGGGGCCAATAGGTAGTATTTACCCGCCTATTGAAATCAATGTCGGAGTCATGGATGAGGCCGGCGTCGCAATAGATTTGATGTCGAACGACAGGAGGAAGAGAGAGGAAAGTTGCAGGCCGAGTACCCACTGAGGGAGTTGAGTTCATAATGCGGATTTGGGGGGCGTGTGCAGCTTCGCGTCGATTTGTTGGATATCAAGAGGTTGCAGTTTATTGAGGTAGGATTATTGAGGTAGGATTCTCGCGAGCGCAAGGCTGAAGGTTGGCTCGGGAGGTTGTCAAGGCTGTGTTGCCCCGGTACCTAAGGCATCCACAAGCCCCTTTTAACAGCCCCTTTAACTTAGGTCCTCAGGTAAAAGTATGCGGGCTTTTGACGCCATGAACCTGACAACATGGTCTAAGTGTTTCTCAGTCAAATCAAGAAAAGGGAATCATGTGTAACACCACTGCCAACAGAGCATGTTCTTGATCCCGGCTTCAGAGAATCAGAGTTGGAATACACGGATTCCCGAGGAAGTCTATCACGCACCCTTCGAATTCCACCAACCGAGACTTATCAATCCAAAAGCCCAAATACGAACACTCCGAAGCAATACCCCGAGGCCCGAAAAAAGATCATGTCAGGATTTCGATGTCCTGATTCATCAACTCTCTGGTCCTACTGTTGTCGGTAGCTTCTCACTTCTGATACGGAAGCCACATGAAGTAGGATGTCTGAAAGGTTCGGGCTCTGATATTGACTGCCATTTGTTCCGTCTTTGAACATTACATGCTTTTTGTCCGTCCAAGGATGGCCGAAGATGAGCGTAAGCGTGCTTTGCGATGGGCTAGACGGATACATATAAGAGTACTTCAAGTCTTCAACTCTTGCAATGAATATGGCTTTTCTCTTGAAGACACTTTCCAAATCGAGACAGTACTTGCTTGATCCAAAGTATTCAATTGAATGATATGAACGCAGCGGATGCTGAAGAATGACGCGAGAATCGAGTCGTGAGTATAGGGCTGAAAACCTCTAGTACTGGGAGTCTGGGATTTCTCGTACATAACCATTCTGGGAGAAACTTTTGCGGCCAACATCAACGCCGTGTCTTTCATCTTGCACTAAGTGACGTGGATGTATGATAGACTGATAGTGACCGCCAATTAAAGTAGTAGATCTCGAAAACTTCCATCTTCAGAACCAGGGTCCAGACAAGTCGGGAGATAGAGTATAGAGAGAGAAACTCAGAAGAAGTAGACAGAGGAGACCATAGATCAGACGAATCTGGATCGCAATAGTCGGATGTCGGGAATAGCTTCAACAGACAGTGTTGGGAAGGATTCCAACAGGCAAGGTGGTACATGCGGATTTGCTATTTCGGGAACGCGAAAAGTTCACGTAAGCGATGAATTACACGTGATTCGGAATTCGGTCGTCGCAGCCAATTGAAGACTACGAGCACAACGAGCGCTTAACGACGACGATAACCAACATCCTTTTGATACAACCGCCCTTATAAAAATAACATTTGGAACAGGCCCATGTCTTTGTCAGATCAAATTTTGCAGCAGAAGCGGGGCTTAGAGAGACGTGCCCTATCCGAAACCTTGACGCTGCCTCCTTAGAAGCGTCCCGACCAGTAGGCTCATGGAGGGTGTTGGGGCCTGTTGGTCAACACTGTCAGCTTTGGACAATCAGCCTCCAATCTGAAGGCGCAGCAATTTCTTAGCCTATGTCCAAGGACATTCTGTCCAATGTAGCCTGGCCATGAAAGTGGCCCCCCAAAGGGATGGCGCTTGTCATCTCCTGGGCCAATATAACAGAATCATCGTTAACTCCCCAACTGCGAGTCTGCGATGTGGTTTGATTTTTACTGACAGCAATAGCACGACTTAAGGCAACTTCATTGACTACACACGAAGTTACTTATACGACGTTGCAAAAAGTTCCTTCGCTGACTCCATGAAGGTAAGCAAATGATATCCTCACTCCTACAAAGTCATGCTAAAAGATTCGAAGCTCGAAGGAAACAGCATCATGGCATCGTCCTCGCAGCAACGCAAATACACCTTCACATTTGTTGCAATCCTCGTTCTCGTCATTATTTGGTCTCTCAGGTTATTACTACCCACAGTGTCGGGGTTTGCTATGCATCTTGGTATTGGCGGAAACTCGAGTGTGTCGACACCGCATGATTCGGAGTTCAATGCCATCACAAAGAACGTAGCTGTAATCATTGACGATCGGCCGCTGGACAAGCTAGTACCTTTGATCTTGCACTTTTCATCTGTTCTGGGTCCAAACTGGCCGGTCATTCTCTTCACTTCACAAAGTGCTAGTCCCATGTCCGCGCCTTTCCGTCGAGCTATCAATGAACGCCGTCTTTCTGTCAGGTTTCTGCCTCCCAATATACAGTTCACCAGTCAGCTTTGCGTATCCGAATTTCTCACCTCCTCATGGCTCTGGGAGCAATTAGCTCCCGCTGAACACGTCCTTTTGTTTCAGGCGGATAGCATATTATGCTCCACCTCAGCTCTACGAGTTGAAGACTTTTTACAATACGATTTTGTCGGTGCACCAATCGACCCATCTCTCGGCTATGGCAAAGGCTTTAATGGTGGCCTGTCCTTACGCAATCGGTCGATGATTCTGGATATTGTCAGTATTTCGGATTGGAGATCCGAGTTTGATCATGCCGAGAATAAAAATGAGCCAAGTGTCCAATTCGAAGACCAGTGGTTTTACAAGAAGATGAAGGAGCTACCAGCCTACGAAAATGGCGGTCCAGGTGCACGGCTACCCCCCATAGACGTGGCGATGACATTCTCTGTCGAGACAATGTGGTACGACACTCCTCTGGGTTACCATCAGATTGAAAGGTGGCAGAAAGATCGTCTGGACGAGGTGGATAAGTGGTGTCCAGAACGTCGCATAGCGAGCACCGATCTCCTTGTCACGAAAGGGAACTCGTAGAAGCATAATTGGCATCGAGGGAAGGGGCATGAGCGCGGCTTCAAAACCTGTGATAGAGTAGTTTGAACCAGGAACCTTTGCACCTTGTATTGATTACAGCAACGGTTTCAATGGCTTTGATATATTAGCATATATTGATTCAGATGAAATTTCTCCTTCTACATCTTTCTAGGCGCCGGTCTGGAAGTTCATTCCCAAACAGTACCGTGCCTATTTTAAGCCCTGATCTACCTTTACAGAGATTCGTTGTGCCAAGGCGAGCTTCTTGCCGCCGAAATTACCAACATCCTGCTACATGTTTCATTGTCCCAACTCCCTGTCTGGTCGTTTACCTTGTTTTGCTGTCGCTTCAGGTTAGCTTAGCCAGAGAAATCTGTGTTAAGTATCGAGTGTTCCGACGGACCTCTGTTAAAAGGTACTTGTACAATATTCTGGAGGGACTACTGAATAATCCATTTCCTTTACACTTCTTTCTGGAACCTCGCAGTTGCTCGCACTTCGAGATATGACAACACTCACCCATCCTCCGGAAACAAACGACGGAGTCGTCACCTCATGGCTCCCAGTCACTACCGCTTGGCCTTCAGTTCAGCAGTGCTCAGCTGCTATATATTTACAATTTGGGGGTAGCAATGCAATTAGATTTGATCCATATTATGGATTGAGCATCAATCCGCAGCTTACTTGCCTACCTAGGCTACGCAGAAACCCATAGGTCCCTACTAAATAGGTTAGGTACCTACCCTATAAGGTAGGTTATAGTAAATAAGACCTAACCTATAGGTCCCTAAATAAATCTACGACCTAACCTATAGGGTAGACCTAACCTATAGGTATAGTATATCCTAAGGTACTAAGGTACCTTTATACTTACATAATACCTAAGGTTATAATTATTAATTAGTATAAGGATTAGTATAAAGATTAGTATAAAGATTAGTATAAAGATTAGTATAAAGATTAGTATAAAGATTAGTATAAAGATTAGTATAAAGATTAGTATAGTTATCCTAAGTTTAAACAATTATAAAATAAATAAATTAAAATAGTTTTATATATATTTATTTTAGTACTTAGGCTCTACTATCCTTAAGTCCTTACCTACTTTATTACGTAATCTAAAATAGATCTTTTATCTTATAATTCTTATACCTGTTTCCTTAGCGTATTAATACCCCTAAGAGTCTCTAGCTTAGATCCTAGAGGTAGAGTTAGTAAAACCGACTCTACGCTATTACGATCTCTATTAACTACTAGCTTAAGAATGTCTTTATCCTTAAGGTCTTCTAGTAGATTATAGATTAATAGATCTTATATAGTATTCCTTTTCTTACGCTCTACTATTTATATACTACGTATTTTATATATAGATATAAAGAGTACTTAAGTATTATCTTAAGCTATAGAACGAGCCTATAAGAGCCTCTTATATATAATAGTATTAAGGCGTCTCTATATCTATAGTGTTTATACTTAATAGCCTGGCCGGTTTAGTTCTCTTTCTTTATTACTAATATAGTAATCTACTACTTACGTATCGACTTCTTTTAGACGTAAGTTAATAAATGTTTTCTACTCCTTTAGCTTAGCTTCTATCTCTTCTTTAGTTATACTATTAATATTAATAGTATTAGAAAGTATCCTTTTAAGCTTATTACCTTACTCTTTCTAAAGTTAAGAGAAAAAAACTAATATAAGAGTATAGATAGCTAGAGGTTTAAGTTAGCTATAACGATAGCTATATATATTATATAAAAAATTAAAGAAGTACTTAATACTAACGCTTATAAGAGGAATATAGAGTAAGTCTCTAGCTATTACTATAAGGCTAGAGAGACAAGTCTTAAGCTACTACTAAACTAAGAGGAGTATATAGTTATTAGGTTCTAGTTTTAAGTTAGTAATTAGTATAAAGATTAGTATAAAATAACTTACTTATCCTAAGCTATA